TTTTTCGGCACTGGCTTTTAATGATTTTATGCAGGCGTCTCTCTAACCCCGTCCTGCTATACCGAGACAGGACTCGAAGATCGACTTAATCTCGAAAGCTGTGAGCACCAGCTTGATTGCAATGTTAAGTAACGATTAAACTTTGGACTTTGGAATACCAAGGGTTACTCAGCGCTTAGCCTAGTGCGATTCTCTCTCTTCGAGCAGATCCAAGTCCAGATATAGTCCATTTTAAAGTTTCTACGGAACGACCGAGTCTGCAACGAGTATATGCAATATATACCCAGATACAACTCACATGTACGCATCGATGATGTAGCGATGAATTTGCATTATTACGTGGACGCGTTAGATAAAAAGTTTTTTCCGCTTTCACAGAGAAGGCAATTAAGAGAAAAACGAAATTTTCATACGAAAGAGGCTTACCCAAGTTTCACTTTTATTTCTCTTCTTGCTTAAGTAGTACGAGTTCGACAAAAGTCAGACGCAAAAGTTTTCTCTTCGTCATGATCACACGATTGCCACCAGCCTCATTATACTTTCGGCTCTTAAATGAATTTAATAACGCATCTCCGGGGAAGTCCAGATCTCATGCATTTTTTTCCCGATTAAAAGAAAACTATTGAATTTTTACTCTTACCTAGCTGAACCAATATCGTCAACAATTTAATCTTTGATTACTAAAACCAAAAAAAAATAACCAAGACCACAAGCTGGAGCAAGTACACGCCAGCGCACTGGAATTAGACGTGTAAATAAAGGTGTGTACGGCAGAGTATTAGAAGGGTGAAAATAAAGCACACACACGGAAGAGCAGAGAAAAGTCATTTGAACATTGAGTAGAGAAAATAGGGAGTTACGCGAGGTATTTTTCTGGAAAAATAATTGAAGGCTCTCTTTTATGCTTACCACATACACACACTAATGAAAATTGGTCGATGTGGAACGAGTTTTCCCGTTCGTTCGGCAAATTTATTTAGAAAAAGTAATCTAGATGAATTGGAAGAAACAAAAGTAGTGAGAGAAATAACCCTAGAAACATTAATTAAATTTTCAAGTGGCGCATCGATGATGCAGTACAAATATATCTGCGTCGGAGTGATACGACGATCACAAGATTTTTCTTACGAATGTAGAGCAATTATGTCGTTGGAAATAGAATAGTAAAACTTGTTTTTAACTCGTGGCAAAAATTAATAGATTATTGAACTTGGATGAATATAATCTAAAGACATGAAGTAATCGGATTGAATCACGAAAAAAGTCGATTTTTGGCAAAATATACTAATGGTCATGTAGACAAAACATTTTATTCAAGTCCAAGCTCAAATATATTTACTGCAATATAAAAAGTGAATAAGATATACCTCCTGGTTTGCTCGTCACAGAACTATAAAATACGCACGTTGTTCTCTATCGTGTTTTTTCATTGCTCGAGTGAACACTGAACTTAATTAATGAAACGAGTATTGTCTTTTATTACTCACTCGTGGAAATTCAACTCCGGGTTAAAAGTACTCGGGCATTTTCAGATAAAAACTATCGATTGTGACTAATAAATTATTTCCACGACGAAACTAAGCCCTTATAACGGGTACGATCAATTTTATTACCTGCTTCCGTAGCTGCAGGCCAGATTCATTAGTCTCTTTCAGAGTTTGTGTATTATTATATATCGTTGATTTTTTTACATCAAGACGCAAGTGTGCGTATATATGTGTGTGCTAGCTTACGAAGAAAAGCCAATAAATCGTTGGTCGATGCCACGGAAAATCTTTTATTTTCATTCTTCTAGTCTCAAACTCTTGATTCCTCTATTTCCTTCATAAATACAAAGAGGAAGCGCGGCTATTTATCTATTTATCTTTCAGTTTCGCTCGTTCATTTTAGGATCGACAGTTTTTTCACTCTCTTGTCTTTTTCTTTTATCTGCTATAGGTGGAAAAAGGTAATTGTGTAAGTCGTTTTTCCCTCCGCAGCTTGCGGTAGCATGTGGGATTGATGTGTGATTGGATGGCTAGAAACGTATTTTTCTTTAATTTTATTTTTTCCAATCAGCCATTTTCTATGCTCTTTTTACGATTATCGACGCGAGCACACGCGAGTGGAATTATGAAGTTCCGATTGGCTTGATTATGGAGAGCGATGCAAAGAAAACATCGTATAACACAGGAATCAACATCACATAAATTCAAGGCAAAGATGCTGCGTCCTCACACGAATTTCACGTTCAAATTTGAGTGTAGGTAAAAATATTTTATTTGTCAAAAGCTCACGCAGTGCATTTCATGGCAGTGATTCTATTTTATAACTCGCTTGCAACATTTTGCTGGCGCATATACCTAAAACTCACGCATCAGGCACATATAGGGCGCCTCATTGTTCAGTATAATGTGTACAGTCGAGTAAGTGCGTCCATCTGTCAGTTTAGTGCTGGAAAAAATATTTAGCGCGTGGAAACGTCATGGAATGGATTTTCAGAGGCTACAAAACTATAGAGTCTCGCACAAATGGAATAAATTAAAATATGATAATTGAAAAAAAAATTTATTTTTGATTAATGCGCGTGCGTGTGCATGTGGTTCCATTTGTGAACCCCTACCAAAAATCCCAAGTTTGCATTATAAACGATCGAAAATCCGTTCTGTCAGTTAAAAGTTGGTATTTATTCAAGAAAAACACGGGGATGGAGCCATCTGAGCGCTAAATTTTTTCGATCACGAGCTGGAGCAGGGAAAAATTATTTATAACGATAAATCAGATAAAAAACGACGATATGTTCGAGCTTGAAGGAGCTATTGTATACACTTTGTATATTTCAATTTACATTTAACAATTTCATTTTTATATTTGAATATGGATCTTTACACCCTTGAAATAAGTTTCTAAAAAAGTTTTTTTTTAAAATGAAAACAAATTGTTGTCAAAGGATTTTTTCCCATTCCATTGAATTTCTTAAAATTTAAAAATTATGTTTTTTTTACTGGCATACAGCTGTTTTCTTGAACCTTTCAACTTAACGTATAAATTTTTCTTCTTTTACATTTTCTAATGCTTTATGTTTTTCAAAATTGCGTGGACGTGTTGTAACTTTCAGAGCGAACTATTTGTACTACGGCACTCAGAAGGTGAACACTTCTTCTGAACATCAACCAAAAGCAAAATACGTGAAAATACAGCTGCATCTCAGTGAGAAATCAAAATTTTAATATTTAAAAAAAGTTAATAGAAAGGGAAAGGAAAATCGTTTCGAATATTTTTTGATTATAATCGTCCTTTTTACGCCCGTAATGATAGATCTAGGATATTTATTATGAGTTGGAATCGAAAAAGGTAAATTTTTCTCATCAAATGCGTATTCAGAGTATTTGGACATATCGTCGAAAAGGGTATCGGAACGTAGCTCAAAAACATCCATCGTCGATATTATGTGCAACTGTACATTTTCTTTTGGTTATATACAGTGGCGAACTATTTTTCGCATTCGAAGCACAACGTGCAGACAGAGACACATTTTGTATATCCATCATGGAGAAAGCCGGCATCGAGTCGAAAAAATTCTCCTTTTTCTTTTTACTGTACCCTTGCATTTATTGCACAGTAACGATACGCTACTACTCTTGTAAATATGTTTAGTTTTAAATATCTTGCAAAAAACAGGTATAAAATAATTTATATATTTCATTTTCTTTTATTTTCGATCGATCTCTGTTTAAGCAGTAAAATGTTTTCTACAAGCGCTACAGTTTATTTGATTTTCAAGCCGAAAACTCAGGAGGCGGGCACGTTACAAATTGAGCTGTCTAATGGACCGAGGCAGTGTGCACATGTTTCGCACCGTTCGCTTGCAAAACAACCATACGATTTGTCAACCGCACACGCCAACGCCTGAATTACGATTTAGCAATAGCTGCCTGCTTTTTTATTCCTTTTTGTCATGGCCGGAATGCTGTCTAAATATCGAGAAAACCAGTGCCATATATTGCGACACACATTTGCTTAAAATTAGTATCTAACTTCTCGTATCAATTTCTTTGCGCCTACAGTGACGGACAAGTTTATACGCAAGAGTTTCGCGACGGTGAAACAATTTTGATGTTATGCTTATAAGCACCCGATGAGCTTGAGACATCGCGTTCACGAAGCTTTATATCTTGATGAAGAATGATGTGTGTTATGAAGCTCGATTAAATTTCAACGTTTTTTTTCCATAACAGAGATGATTAATCGAGTCTACGTAAAAAAGTAAATAACGCACACATACAAACACGATCGCACACACGAGCAGGTAAGACGTTCTAGAAAATGAAACATTAATGAAATTGAGGGGCACAAAGTTTTGCAGTATTTCGCGTAAAGTTTCTTCTGCACACACATCACTGACTTACAAACACCAAACTCACTTCGTCACTTCATCAGCGCGATACCGCTAACGACGAAATCTCTAATGTTGAATGATAAATTGTAAGGGGAGCACGCAAAGGTTACATGTAAAAAAGTTTCTCGCAGGTATGTACTTTATGTTACAGGACTTTTGAGAAATTCTTGAAAACAGTTTATAGGTAAAATGACTTTTTCACGGTGATATATCAGTTTTATACAGTAATGTATAAACGTCTTGTTTATAGAAAAGCCATTGACATTAATCTAAGATAAGTACAGGTGTTACATTTTTCTGAATTATAGTAATATTTGTTGAATTAAATGAAAAAATTTTGAATTTTTTTCGTGCGGAATTAAAAAGTATATCGTTGCACCAGAACGACATGCTTGTCGAAAAAAATCCAATTTCGATACAGAGAGATCAATCTACCAGGATCGTCACGAGTCAACGATTCGAGCTTTTAAATCGATCCACGCGCTACAGTTTGTTTTCTTACGCTCGCTCGAATTTGCCCTATTTTACGATATAGTGAAAACTTTACAAGCAGCTCGAAATAAGAATTCGAATGCTTTCTACGTTTTTGCGTTATTTTTTTTTGTTCGCCTGATCAACGTACCTGTAAACACTGTCGTCGTAGTGAAGTAGGATCCGTAGCTGCTGGTTGATACTACGCTTTTTTACTATGTGGGCTGGTTCTACGTGAACACCGTGAACGACCTGCAAAAAAGTAATTTTATTTACCTCATACATAGGAGTATAAACACAATACATGCATATGAAATGAAATTTAAGATTCGTGAAAGTTCACGTTGACTGCCTGCGAAGTGATAACGAACGAAGGAATATTAAAGCGAGAGCAGATAGCAGAATGGAATACTTCTGCGAGCTTGCAAACGAGAAAATAATGCTCATTATATCAATGGATCTTCTCTGACTTGCTCTCGTTGCTACAGCTGCATTGCATAATAGATACATAATGCGGCCTCGCAGTCGAGGTGTTAGATGCATAATTGATGCGTCTTGGTTTACCTAAACCTCCTAGTGAATGCGTGAGAGCCCGAGCAATAATGATCATAATAATAATAATAATAATAATAATAATAATAATAATAATAATAAAACATGATGATGATAATGATAATAATTGAGATTAGGTTATTGTGATCTAAATTATTTTTATCAATCGCAGGACTGTTTTAATTGTTAAATTTTACATAATTTTTATAGATATAAAAACTAAACTGGTCATGACTTTTTTTTCGATGCTGGATAGAAAAGCTTATGGAAGGATTCATTCAAAAACATATTTGCATATTGCAAGCATTAACTATGATATTTTTTTCAACTTAATCTCGAAGTAATCCTTGCATAACTCAATAATTCGTATATTTTTTTATCAGTTTAAAGTGTCGTAAAAGTCGACAGCATGAATATTTCAAAGTATATAAATATTATACCTGAATCTAGAAAATCAACGTGTCTATTCAGGCCTATGTCCTCTGTTTGGATGTGTAAACTAAATTGCATAAAAACTGAATAAATCAGTAACAACATACTTATTATCAAAATCGAAAATAATAAAAAAATGTTATATCTTTTGAATTTAGCATTATTACGAAATGTTACGATCAGTTCTATTTATGCAGGTACTTGAAATTCATCACGTAAAAAATACATACGCTGCTACCGAATATGAATAGCGACCCTATCATCATATGAATCATATTACTTACTCTTTGATTTATTTTGACTATTTATTTCATTGCTGAAATGCACGTAAAACTATTTTTCTAAAATAAAAAGTGCATTTTTTTTATAAAATATGAGTAACAATCGACGTTAAAATCATTATAAAGACTAAAATGGTGTTCGATTATTTGTTGCAAACGAGCGAGTAAATTTTGTAACAAGATCATGCGAGCGTAAATTTGCCAGATACGACTCAAATTAACGCGAGCGAACAAAGAGTCAACCAGAGTATATTATAATCCAACGCTGCAACGCGCATCGATGCGATTGTTGCATGATTCGCCTGCACCTTCTTTTTTAAAAATAAAAAAAGGATTTTAAAAATGAAATCACAGAAATCCTGTAAGAGTAAAAGAGTATTTATTAACTATGGCTTGAAAAATATGCACTAGCTTGTTATAAATATAACATTTTAATAACAGTAAATAAAATTGAAAGCAAGACTTGAGAATTAAGTTTCCTTATTAATGGTCTCCTAAAAATCATTTCTTCAAAAGCCAAACGATCGCCCTCTCTTAGAAAGTAGCCACAATGTATGCGAGAGAGCTGTATATATGGTTCTCAGCTCTTCTTCTTCATTTTCCTTTTGCTAGAATAAGCCGCCCTGAAGGCAAAAATCCATAAGGCGCCGCTTCGCGAAGCATCGCATTACTGTTAAGGAGCTTTTCGCCCTGGCTCGTAAGAAGCCCCCATGCTATTCTATAAGAAAAGCTTCAAGTCGCAGATTAATACCTTTTTGAAGTGTGATAGGTATTAAAAAGATTATCAGATCTGCAGAGATCTATGTGTTTTTATGCTACTTTCAATTGAATCGTACTGTCCAAATTTTTTTTCAATTACAACGGAAAAACTTTTCACGTGCGTATATATTACGGCTAATTGTAGACATAAGGGACCAAAATCGTATATTTTTGGCAGTACATCTTCACGATTTCTGAAGTCTATTAAAAAATTATTTGTCAATCAAACGGTTAATGTTGTTATTTTTTATTCGGTATCAGACAGTTTATATAGGCTTTCGCATAAGGAAAAAGCAGAGAAAAGAGAAGGCAAAGAGTAAAAAAGTAATATACAATGTACTCGAGAAAGTAAAGTGTATGTATTGAGGAGAAAAGTTCCGAGTTTGAATCGGTAACTCAGGACGAAGTTTCACACAAAGTTCTTTTGTGGGAGTTTTCGGGAAAGGGTTCTCTTAGCAAGGTGCCCTATAACTCAATTTATGAACACATTTTCTCGCGAAAGTACATAGCAGTAGTGGCGCGCAACGTTAAATCGAAAATTGTTTCGTCCAACTTTTAGGAAGAAGGAGGGAGAGAAAAAGAGATTTATTTTTTTTTCTTTTATTTTTATGTATACGTATTAAGTGCACGCATTTGAGTAAAATAAAAGCCCGGTTTTATATTTAAAGAAGATGGTCCCAAGCATTGCCTTACGGCAAAAGTTGAAAAATCAGAGCCACCAGTCATGATTACAACTTGTTTGAGTAAAGAAAAAGGTTTCTTTCGTACAAAAATATTAATAAAAGAGAGTCCTTTGGAAATTATCCCTTCGAGATGTGAGAAAGTAATAATATACAAAAAGAAACAATCGACTTTTTTGAGTCAAAAGTATCGTCACTTTTACAGCAAATACGTATACAACTTCGCATTATATGACCCTTAATGAAAAGAGCTGCTGCTGTATGTTTGAAAAAAATCGCGTGCACAGAAAGGACGAAACGAGTACAGCAAGTCAAAAGACTTGACAAGATCGTCCGATTTGCGTATATATATACGTATGAATGTATACCCTGTGCGTATACAGAAATACATTCCAGAGAATCGTAATCGCTGTAGTACGAGCCTCAGGCGCGACTATATGTTGCAATGGCATAAAAAGCGTGACATCACAAAGCTGTCGCGCAGAGAGCTTTAAAAAAAGCACGAGAGCCGCGTTGCGTATTTTCTTTTTTTTTGTTTATTAATACGAATAATGAATGTTTCAGACGTGATGAAGAATGATGAATGCCAACTGCAAATTGTAAGTACACTGGGGCAAGTTGTAGCTGTAATTAAACATGAGTATGTATTGTAAGCATAGCGATGAGAAAAGAAATAAATGAAAATTATTTTAAAAACGTATATTATTTTACCCTTTTTATGAAAAAGGAATTTATGAAAATTGAGAAAAGCTCTCATATAACTTGCCGGAAAAAAGTAGTTGCAGAAAATTTAAATGCAACATCATATCAATTTCAATAAACTATTATATTACAGACTAAGTCTGAATTATGAAAAATCATTCGTACCTATTTTGAATTAATATTTTTAGCATTAATGAATTACTATCTATCTTTTTTAGAGCGATGATACATATTTTCTCGTTTCGGTGACACAGGTAGAAGTAAAAGTTGAACTTTATAATATTCAACGGACGTCCGCTTGTTTTATCAAAATTAAGAGCACGGACCAACGGTATGATAATGAATTCGCAGAGACCCTTGCGCTTGGGAGGCTTTTAAAAACTATGTGGGAAGTATTATTATAGCTTGATGAAAGTTCGCACGAACAGAAGAGAGACACGGACTCGAGAAGATAGAGCTTATGGACCTTTGAAGCACGGTTGAGATTGCTCCCTCGCCTGTAATTGATCATGGTTATTTCAAGAAGTACTTGGAATGTTGCGCTTAGTTCAGGTACAATAGATACTATCGATACATATTAAAAATGCTTCCTAATTTAATTAAAATGTATCCAGGGAGGGCGTGCCCGAAGCAATGCTGGAGTACAAAACATAATGTATTGTATATCTTTGAATGGGGTGTATATAATTCTGCAAGCATCAAATTATAGAAGCTTCGCGTCACTCGCTGGAAATTTTGCATAGTATAACAACGATGTCGCGTAATTAACGATATACAGAATATATGAGCGTACACTGCGGAGAAATTGAAGACATTTAACTACAAACACGCTTGAAGCCTCTTGGTATATGCGTTATACGCTATGCAGAACTTGTTTCGTTTCAAACGAATCGAGAACGTACGTACGGGTATTTACATTTTCTCCGTGTGCACACTCACTATTACAATAAAACATATATTTCACAGTTAATTATATGTAACAGAAAATAAAGTCTAGTGCGTACGTGGGTTTTCTTCTTCGCATTCAAATATTTTTGACAACAACCCAATCGCCGATATTTTACGTTACACAAGCGAATTAGTGTACTTCTTTCACGTGCTTTTTCATTACGAGTGGTAATACATATACGCATATCATTAACAAAGGAGTGATCAAAGGGACTCTCGAAGGCAAAGCTTTGTCTTATATACTGCCACAGTAACGGAACAAACGTACGCGAACCAATAGCGCCCAGCCACACGTAAATATACACATCAAATACACGCATAGTTGCGCATGCAATGTGAAGGCAAAATGCACCTTAAGGCTAAATACACCTGTGCTCGTGCCTGTTTAATTTCCTTTGTTGTCATAACGAGAGACTTCGCAATATTAATGCCACCGTGTGAGAGGCGTATAAGTCCTTTGTGATTTCGTGTGAGAGACACATTCCAATACATGAATGCATTGGGTGATGATCCATCGCAAAGAAAATGAAATAAATTGTATCAATTCATTTATCGTTAAGTAAAAAACGATCTGCTGGCATGATATGAGCCAAGATTTATGGCTAAGAAGATAGAACGATTTCTTAAATAAAAATAATGCTATTATAAACAAAATGAAACTGTTTGAAAGAAAAAATACGATTAAATTTCTAGCCCTCAGTTGGCAGTATCCGTCAAGAGGCTTTTATACTGAAAAATGAGTGCGAATCTTTTCACCTTTCGTGCGATTCACGAGGGTGGAAATAAGACCGCACGTTGGTACGTGGAACGATTACTCAAAGCAACCAGTCATTCTATATAGTAACGATAAGAGCCGTAATTTTATAGATTGACCGAGGGAAAATTTAGGAGAAAGCTGAGTGATATAGAGAAACGCCGCCCTTGCTTTAGTATGCGAAACGTGATTCTGACTCTGTGCTCGCGCACGCGAACCGAGGTAACGTATAGATATATATGTGTATGGATATCCCTAGTGTATTTCTGGATTGGTTATGCGACTTTTTACATACAAAAATGAATTTTAAAATAAAAATTTCATCGTTTTTGAAGAAACAAAATTTTTTTAACATGTTATAATTCTTCGACGAATAAGGTAAGGAACACGTGTTGAAATGTTTTTTCGGAGTGTTTTATTTGTGTGGCAATAAAAATTGTCTTTTTTTCATGTGAAAATCATCAGTGTCTGTCGTTTCATTTTCCATCCCAAAATTTAATGTCAAAACAGGTAAAACAGGATGTAAAATTGTTTTTCAAGCGTTAAAAAAAGTTTAAAGATTCGTGCCTTATATTTTATATGTCGAAGATAGCATAATGTAAGGGCAAAATAACATACTATTCAGCCCCTATACAAAATAAAAACACCTGAACAATCAACAGTGGGCCACGTATACGTGTGCTTGCATTTTGAAGCTACGTGAGGATCAAATTAAAACGCCAGCGAAATTCAGTACGTTCAGTAATAGGGTTTTACATGGAAAATTTCGGTTTATCAGGGAAAGAGCAAAAGAGTAAAAACATTTTTGCACGGATTTTTTTACACCATTGTCAAACTATCAGGCAGGTAGATACCAGTACAAACGAATATATACATCCGTAGCTAATGTGCAACATTGAATTAGCATATCTGAAGCTAGCTTCTTAATGCTGATTACGTATGCGTCGCTCGCTCTGTCAATCTAAAGCACAGCATGCCGTGTTCCGTAAGCAGCTCTCAAGACGCTGACAAGAAATCTATTGAAAATGAAAATGCCGCACGAAGCCATGTCATTCAGAATTATTACTTGCTGAATAGACGAACTGATTTAAATGATTTCAGCAGAATACGAGCACCAGATGAATTCACAAATCCAAGGATAAGCGAATTGGTCTAATAGATTTTTTTAACTTAAGTATATTTAGGTGCATTTGAACAAGAAATTTTATTACAAATAACAGAATTAGATGTAATCAAATCCAGTGACATATGCTCACATTGACTAAGGAATCAGATAAAAAAGCTTAAAATAGTTTCCCAGTTGGAAATGATCAAAGGTATATTCTTTAATCTTGATAAATGGAAAGTAAACCTAAAAATAACAAGCGACTGAACGAGTGCAATAATCTTAAGTTTTATTTTTTGATAAATCATTAATATGAGCTCATTCGTGAGCGAGAACGTAGGATGATAAGCTTTATCTTTGACATTTCTTTTTGATACAAAGAAATTCTACTATTAAATATTTATTTGCTTTGTAATTAAATAATTCAGCTGGATTTATTTCAAAACATTTTGACCAATTTTATCTTATTGATCGAGAATTAAAAATAATATCGAAGATGTTCTTCAGATAAAGCGATAAAAACATTTGTTTGTGCTGATCGATTTCCTGGACAAAGTATGAACCAGTTTTTTTAATCAATTTTATTTAATTTATCTATTTTTTTAATTTTATGCGGAGCAATTTCATTGCACAAGTATGATCTGTTAGAAAGTACGAGCGAGTCAAAGCAAACGCCCTATTAATGTAACCTCTATATTCAACAAGATAGTATCTATGCAGTAATGTATTGCCACCTCAACTCGCTTTCCACGATCAGGCCTATCTAGAAGCATGTTTTATCGAGATGCTTCTGCTTGCGGTTGGCTTTTCTCGACAAAGAGTCAAATTTTATCGGTGTGTGCTGCGATGAAGCTCTTTTCGTGAAAAATCAAATACCCGCATGTGGCTCTAAAATGCCAACGTATAGTTGATGCATGTGTTACATTTTTAAGCTAACCTCAAGGAATTAATAAGAATTAATTAAAAAGCTATATAGTTATGGTAATGATGAAATTATGGTAAGTTTTGAGTCGCCTTAACTTACAATATCAAATCAATAGGCTAGGCACGACAAAGGTTCTGTATTTTTTTTTATTAATTAAGCTGAGTTCCTTAAAGACTTTCATATGTATTTTCGGCTGATGATCTCGAATGTCAATGAGAAAAATTAATCCAACTGGGTCTAAATTAGTTATTAGCAATTTAATTGTTTAAAACTTTGTAGTTTCTTCTGAAAAAAGGATAAAATTGATTTTCTAAATTAAAAATCAAAGATAATTTTCAGTTCGTTGTTCAATACGCATCAGGCAAAAAAATGACAAGAATAAATTTTTATTTAGAATCGTTTAAGAAATCAAAAAGTCTTTTTTATTTAAAAAAAAATTTTTTTTCAATTACAATTTTTGTTAATTATTTCATTAAAAATTTTTTTGCAAAATCAAAAATATATTTAGATTCCTTAAACAATCCTAAATAAAAAATTATTTTATCGCTTTTTTTCGTCCAATGCGTATTTTAATTATAACAATTTCTGCTACTATTAAGGTGGCTAGTCAGTAATCATAACAATAATAGTAACCATAACAATAATGTCTATCTCTTTCTCTCATTAGGCAGGCAACCGCTCGCATTATTCGAAATCAATGATTTTACGCACATTTTGTTTAATTTTTCATTAGTTAGTTCGATAAGGAGTAATTTTTAACATACCAATCGAAAGGTAGTGACTTGAAGCATAACATACTCGTTTTTGGTTAAAATCTGTTGTTTAATAAAAAAAGTTATGGCGTAAAATGTATGAAATTATGGTGGCCTCCCATAAGAGCCCATGTTAAATTTGCTATTTTCAACGGCTTCGTTCTCAAAAATTAGTTAGATAACCCATGCTGAAATTTCTACAGCATATCAAGGGCACTTTAAATGACATTTCTGCAAAGTTTCATAAACATCTGTTGTCGACCCATTTTACTGACTAGCCACCTTAAATAAACACAAATTGTTCATAACTTTAGTTCTAATAAACGCATTTTAAATTTTTAAAAAAATTAATCTTATATTTTATTATAAGAAATAAAGAGTATTTATTGATTCATCACATCTGTTATAGTTTTTTATTTCGTACAGTTTAAACAATAAAATTGTTAATAACTAATTTTGGCTCACTCGAATAAATTTACTTTATCTTTTATTGTGATTAGCAGCTAAAAATACATAACACAGGCTTAAAAAGAACTTAGCTGTATTAAAAACTCCTCGGATACTATAATGCTAAATTATAACGATATTATGTTTGGATTATTTTATTAGCCCGACTTGCGTCAGGCTGTCAAAAAATTGATGATAGACTCATCAAGTGTTCCCCACCACGGAAATCTTTAGTAAAAGGCGAAAGATTTATTCGTATACTGATGGGAAACCAGAGTACCGAAGTATGGTCTACGTACCTATTTGTATATTTTTGGGGATACCTCGCTTGGGGAATGATTTTGATGGCCTATGAGACATCTAGTGCACGAATTAAGAAACTCGAGCATTTCAAGAAGGGGAACCCTCGACACGGCTGTCTGCTTTCTTCGCCTGTGTGAGTGTAGATACATTGATACATTAACGCGTCACGATTGTTGTAGGCCTTTTTTTAATATTCGAAAGTATGACAAAAAGTAAACGAGAGAGTAACTAAATCAAATTTATTTCATTCGCACAACCGTATCATAAATTGACATGTTATTGATATAAGTGCGAGGTTAAATATTTGATATAATTCAATTTGACTGCCGTAAAATTTAGGTTCGTTTGAGATATAGTTTTAATTAAAAAAAAATATTGCAAATACTTTTTATATTTTCATTACCACTACTATGCTTAAAATATTTGAGTGATAGAAAATGGAAATAAATTTATTAATAACAAAAGTACTCTGCGGAGATTTTTGTATTATTTTCAGAGACAAGTTTCGAAAAACAGAATTATCCGGTCCGTCCTTACACTTTCAAACTAAAAAAATTTATATTTTCGATTCTCAAAAAAAGATGATGTCCTTTCGTGACTTTTAACGAATGTTATTCATTTTAGTTTATTCTGAGCAATAATATGAACAGATTATTGTCTTGAAATTTAAGAACGATAAAGTTATTGGTTTTCTTTGAATCATGTGTGCCGCAATTTTTTGTTTTGTTTTTTTTATATCTGTAGCAGATGACACTGAGTCTGAAGAGTTTTAGAAATTTTTTTTCATATATTTCAAGTCGAAGTAAGTATACGTAAAAAGTATTATGAAGATATGTCTTTTAATTCTAATGAAAATAACTTTTGGATAAAAGTATTTTTTTTAAGTTTGAAGGTGTAAGAAGGTTTAGAATTTCATACAACATCAGTTGCATCTTTCAGTTAAATTTTAATAGTAATAATTACAATAATTGAGAATTTCAATTGCAATTATGTATTACACTACGTGCTATGATAAGCAAAAAGCGAGAATTTTACTGTTTGAAATGCATCGACGTAAAGTAAAAATTGGGATGAAAAAAGAGAGTATTGCTGCTGAGTGTAAAAAAAGACGGTCTTCCGTCTCACAGCAGCCATAATGGCAGCAATTTCTTCCGGCTCTAGAATCCTCTAACCATCGCATCTTCTCTCTCTCTTTCTCTCTGAACGTCCGTTGCGTCTTCTTCTTCTCTATATATCTTTCAACTCGCTGCTTGAATATTACGTCAAAAATAAAATAAAAAAAAAAAAAACGGAGCGCGTATGAAAAGGAAAACGCGAAAAGAAAGATTTCTACTAGGGACTGCGCATATACAGCTGTGTTCTAATGCTACAAGGGGTCTGTGTTACGAAGAAAACGGGAAGAAGAAGGGAAAAGAGGATATTTTTTCCTCCATTTCTCTCGGGGACAGTTTCTTTAAAACCCATCCTGCGAAGTAGACTTGATATTTTTTTCTATCTCTCTTTGCTCGGCTTTCCTCTAACGATCTTTCCGGAAAATGAAGAAATATTTATGCGCACGCCGGTAAAATTATTATAAGGCTACTTCTTATGGCCCTCTTGAAAATTGCGCCTAGCATATTACAGTTATAAGAAATAGTCGCATAATCGGCTCCGCACTGTTTCAGAATGTTGCGATGTAGCCGCGGCAGAGAAATCGGCATATTTGCAGCTTGGCAAAGTACTACTATGCAGGCGATGCATCAAAAGCACGTCAAATCAACTCCCATGTAAATTAGCCGGAGAATCGTTGCTCGGCAGATGTATGTATTAGCTCGTGCAAACGTACGTACATTCAGTCCATCAACGAAAATGCAGGGCCACGACTGACTTGCGTCGCTCCCATATGCATGCTGCATATATATCTATTTTACACAAACGCTGGTACACACGCGTAAGTGTAAATATACACATTGGCTTGCAATCAAGGCTCGCGCTCGCCTGCATATGGGATTGCTCCGTGTATGTGCGTATTGTTAATTATTAGCATTCGCATCAAAGTACCTCTTCTGGTTATGAATTATACTCTGGCATAACAATCGCGGAAATATATCGAATTCCAGCTCGTGGCTCTGTAGTTCAAAACGCATTGCGGCCTTTACAAAGTACACTGGAGCGATTTTTGAGTTTGCGATTTAATTTATAAAGGTAGCTTCTTTAGATGTCGGTTGGCTTTGGGAAATTTGCCGCAATTTGCAATGCTGTAACTGCTCTAGTGCACTCGATCTTTGAGCTCGTGAGGGCAGAGGCAAACGGACGCGCACACGCTCGCACACATAAACTGCATGCAGTCGGATCATTAACTCGCTGATCAAACAGTCTGCAGCAGCGCGCAGTTTCATCTGTATACGCATTGGGGATTTTCATGATTTATAGCGCGGCTCGGGTACGTAACACACACGCACACGCACACATACCCTCGCGCATACACACTCGCACAAGAGCGCGCAGTTATTGTCCGAGTGTGCACGGATAGAAAGAAGAAGGGGTCATACACATTTATACACCTAATGGGAAATCGATTAATCGTCGCTTGCGTTTGTATGTTTGCCGCTATGATTGCTGAATAAACGCACTTGAATTATTGTATAGTGCAGTCAGAGCAGTAGGTATAAACGCGCACAGAGACGGACGGATTTGTGCAGTCGATGGCATAGCTGCTACCGCATTGGCAGCAGGAAAAAGTGTGAGCCTCGAGTATTTGCCTGATTTCAACATAATGTTCAAAATGCACCTGCGCTGATTAATTGCTATTTGAGGAATTGATTAGCCGTTGATTTTCATGCAACTTCTATATCTGTGTTTACTTTGTTTAATTATCCAAAATATATGTGTTAAAGAAAATTAATGATCTATGAGCAAGCATTTATCAATTAATTTGATGCGTCATCGTATTTGTCGATGTTTAAACCATTTAGTTACTTGCAGCACCGATTAGAACGAAAATTATATGCCATTGAAAAAATATTTAATTGTTTTTCTCATATTTACGAGAGCATATTATACTGAAACGTGCAGTAATGCCATTATTATTATTGTTATTTTCATTGTTATGATTATTATGGCTCATAAAGCGGCGCAAAAAACTTTAAAAACGTACTCGCAACTTCTTGAGAACGGTTATGACGAGCCGTTACGTAAAATATCCATTGATTTCAAATACAATTATTTTTTATGCACTTGAAAATAGAAAAATAAGAAAAAAATTCACATATTTCATTTCTTTGAGTTTGAATGGTGCATAATCCCTTTTTTTCATCTGCTGCATTCTTTTGTATTTTGGCTACGGACGATAAGCCGATTAAGCTTGTTCGAGTACTTTAATACATTTTTTATGACTTTAGCATTTATTCTCCTTTAGAGACAACTGCTTTTCCATTTTTATACTCCTGAAGGCTTGTGAAGATTTTTTTAAAAATTAACAATAAGTTGGTTCTTGGTGCCTAAATATAAACGATAGTTGAATACATTTAGTTTGCTTGCGGTGGCGCTTCATTTTTATATCACACTCGCGAGGCCAGCTTAATTGCCTTTAGAATTGGAGCTACGAGCTGGAACAACGGGAAAGAGTTTGACAATAATTGTAACAGCTGGTGCATTCACTGCAGCATCAGCGATCTGTACATTTTCCGTTTTAATGCGTGGGAATATATACCGGATTTGTGTTACATACTGTGAGTTTTCAGCTGCTGCTACATTATATAGCTACATACACGTGTACAATATATGCGCTGAACAAGAGGAAAGCTTGGCATGCACGCAGTTGTACAGGGTTTGCAGCGTTAACGAAATTGGCTTGACGTTTGAAACGTAAAAAGAGTAAAATTAATTATTCAACTGAAAAGACTGGGAGTTTGGCGCTGCAGACGTTATAGGTTTGAAAAATTACACCATTATTACGAATTGTTTGTATTTTCTTTCCAGAATAGAGAAACAACACGAAAGCTATTGAGAAAACAGAAAAATATCTGATAAGAGTCCGAGAGTAAACACGAAAAAGCATTTACATAGATAGGATAAAGAAGAGTGGAAAAAGCCCCAGTACTTATATACCTATACGCGAGAAGACGCGTACAGTCCGATGGGAAAAGACGCTGCTACTGCTAGTATAAGAGAAAAAAAGTAAACTCTATTCTAAACGGATCGAAAATACGAAGGGGTTTTCAATGCGAGAGAGTCTTCAAGTTGCTAGATCGAGAGTTTTGGCCTCGTGTCGTCCTACCACCAGGGACATGTTAGTTTGTTTTGCGCTTGGCGGGTATGCGTCTGTTTGTGTGTATGTATACGTTGATAAGGAAAGAGAAATAAATTCGTATTTATTCCACAACGGATGTGTTCGTGCGGAGAAAATTGAAATATCGAGTCATTAATTTTATTTATCAATCGAACATCAAAAGCTCCGTCTGTTTTGTCGCTAGCCAATTAATTAGTTCAGGTAAGCGTGGAAATTTGCCTGTATATGTGCGGGCACTTCTCAATGAAAAAGTGAAGCTCTCATCACTGCAACGACTTTTACATTTTTCAGTCAAGATTTTATCTTTTTGATGTAGCTATTCGTGAAACACTAAAATCCTGCAAGCTCGCAACTCTCCGACTGATAAAATACTATTTTAGAATTTACGCGAACGTCCGTAAAATGACTCGGAAGCTTTTAGCGAAATGCGTGTCAATGTAACCTCTTTCTCTCTTTCATTTCTCGTTTATGCTCGTAATGAAGTTCCACATGGGATTATCTCTGAAAGCTCCTTTTAAAATCGTCGAGCATAATCACCTGCTCATTCATATCATCGACTTTTATGTATAGATTTTGACATTTAGCGCATTAAGATAGCCGAGATGAAACAAGAAAAGCAGAATAAGGTTGCGAAAAGATGCGCGGAAATTGGAGAAGATGCTCGAGAATCACACGCGTAACGGACTCTGAATTATGCAGAATGCGTT